CTCATATTATGGAAAATTCTCTGACATTGCAATTTCTGACTGCTACTTGTAGATTACTGATCTTTATCTGGAGTCATTAGTAGTCAGCTTTTCGTGTTTGTTACATAAGGCTTAACTTTAGGCAGATATGAAAAAACACAAGTTAATGCAGCTATGTCTTTATTAAAAATGATTACATGTATTTTAATGCAATTAGTGTAAGTGTCTGACATTTGCACGAATATTAAATTCCTTTGATCATTTGTATACTAGTTCACTGGGAGAGGGAGTGCCAGCATTGTGAGCCAGTCAGGCTCTTGTGCAATGCACAGTGCTATCAGACTAACACTTAGAACGTGCTGACAGGAGGATGATTGCTGTGTTGCTTCTCCTCCAGTGCCCCACCTGCAGGGTGGGGTTGTGTCCTGAACCAAAGTGTCCTGCTAGTTCAGTAAAGATCAAAGACCTAACAGTGTTGTCTGACAGGGGTCTCTGCTTCATAAAGGCCGTGACACACTGCAGGCAAAGCAGCGCGGAGCGGTGGCGCACTGCCTTTGCGAGCAGTGTGTCATGTCATTTTCTCCTGGGCACCTCAGCTGGCGAGAGCTCGCGGAGCTGAGCGTGCCGAGATCAACAATTCCAACTTCAGCCAATCGGCTCGCGCGAATAAACCAGCGGGTCGGTATGCGAGAGCTGGCTGGTTGTTACGGACGAGCCGATTGGCTGAAGGTGCAGTCAATCATCTGACTGCAGTCAGCTCACACACTGCACGCAAAGCTCCGTGCCGGATAGCTTTGCTTCGCTCTGCACGGCTTCGCATGCAGTGTGTCACGGCCTTAATCCTATGGGCATACCACTGCGCTCTTAAGACCGTGACACACTGCACGCGGAGCGGTGGCGCGCTGCCTTTGCGAGCAGTGTGTCATGTCACTTTCTTCTCGGCACCTCAGCTTGCGAGAGCTCGCAGAGCTGAGCGTGCCGAGATGAACAATTTCAACTTCAGCCAATCGGCTCGCGCGTATAAACCGGCGCGACGGGATGCGACGTCTGGCCGGTTGTTACAGACGAGCCGATTGGCTGAAGGTGCAGTCAATCATCTGACTGCACTCAGCTCACACACTGCACGCGAAGCTCCGTGCCGGAGAGCTTTGCTTTGCTCTGCACGGCTTCGCGTGCAGTGTGTCACGGCCTTTACCAGTAAGCTCCATGCGAGAGTGGGTGCTGGAATGACTGCAGGTGGCACCGCTGCAATCCAAGGGATGGAGTATGTCACCAGCACACAGAGGATCTGCGTCTAAAACACCTTTATTGATGTTTAAACATTATAGTCAAACAAACATCAATGTTTCGGGACCACACAGGCTCCCTTCATCAGGCATAATATAATATGGTATTTTTAATATATATATGTATATATATATAAAATGACTGATAAAGGGACCCTCTGTTGTCCCGAAACGTTGTTTGTTTGACTATAATGTTTAAACATCAATAAAGGTGCCTTGGACGAAGATCCTCGGTGTGCTGGTGACATACTCTATGCCTTGTTTCATAAGCCTGAATCAACAGAATTTTATTGTTTTTACAGATAATATTTATTTCAAATGTATATTTAACTGTTTGCCTGGAATTCAGGTTTGACTTTTCTAAACCTATGAAACATGACAGCACAATCATTGAGATTAGTGTGAGATGGGCGAAGAGACACTATGCAAAGAAGAACAAACAGATTAAGTTTGGTCACACTAGCCTGCATGCTAAAACACGCGGGGGGGATGCGTATTAGTTTCAGCGCATCGTACTGTTTACTTTTTTAACTTAATTTGGAGTTTACAAAGTATACGCTCTATTCAAGTCACCAGGTGGCTTGCAGTGCCATCCATGTAGTATGTCTGCATTTTTTCACACTGCACCGTCCATCACACCTCCATTGCGGTGTGAACAGGGCACATAGAAAGGAATTGCTTTCTATGTGCCCTAGTGGTGACTGGTGTTCTGCTGTTGATCAGTTGCTGAAAAAAGCCAGTCACCGCAATGGTGTGAGCGACCCCTAAATAATAGTAGCAGAGCAAAATGCATTTTAGTTATTGTAGATTTTTCACAGCACTAAAATGGCTTCACACTAAAACGTTTCTAGAAAAAGTAGATTGCAAAGAGATTGTAATGTTTTATATCTCTTCCACATTTTTTCCTACATACTTGAAATATGTTTTAAAGGGGGGGGAGACAGGTTGGAGGAAGGGGTGTAAGAGCCACCCAGGATCGTGGTTCAAGTGTGTATAACTTTGTCACAACCAATTAAAGGAGAACTATGAAGTGAGTGCTTTTCACTCACCTCATAGTTCTAGCCGACCTGTGACAATGAGACTGTCACAGGTCAGCTCAGTAGATCGGGAAGTGAGCGAACACATACCGGCGTTCTCTCACTTCTCGATCCTGTCATGGCTCTCTGCCGTGACGGGTGGGACTGGATTCCCCCCTCCCCGCTCCGATCCTCCAGCACTGACTGGCTAAACGGACGGGGGAGGGGGCAGTTACAGCTGGCTCTGCCTCTAGATAGGCAGAGCCAGCTGTCACGGATGGGCGGATCCAGGCATAATTATCGGGATCTGCTTCAGCTGCGGCGTCTCGGTATACCGCGAGCTGTAGCTTGCGGTATAATGAGCTTAGGGTGACGGGAGGACGCTAGTTTGTGTCCTCCAGTTACCCTAAGGAGAACTATGGTCGGACGGCAAGAGGTTAAAGGAGAACTATGGGGTTAGCGCTTTTCCCCATAGTTCTCCTTTAACCTCTTGCCGTCCGCCCGTAGTAAAAAAA